AGCTCGAGCAGCTTGTACTGTTGCTAAAGGATCATTCGATTGTCCATCAGTAAGAACAGCAACTACACGAGGGATTCCTTCACTAACACGAGCAGTAGCAAATGCTGTAGTTAATTGATCCAATGCTAAGTTAGTATAAGTATATCCTCCAGTGTATGGTATGCTTCTGACAGCAGTAGCCAATTGTGAATAAGTATTAATGGAACCTAATGGGATAACAATTGATGAACTATCAGAGTAACGAATGACTCCAACTCGAGTGTCATCTGGTCCAATGGTAAAGCTAGACAGCATGGTTGCAACAAAGTTTTTCATTTGCTGAAAGTTAGTGGGTCCAATACTACCAGAAGAATCCAATATAATGACAAAATCATAACTTCCTGGACAATCTAAAATGATAATTATACATATGGGTACCTAAAATGCAGTATATTTTTTTCATACTTAAATAATTGTATATAGCAGAAATAAAATTATTAGATCTAGAATCAGACGTAGATACTTCAGAACTCCTGAACAAATTAATAAATGAAGAAATTAGGTTTCGACCACACAGACCAAAGGTTGTTATAATCTAAGGGCGAGCATAGACAGTATCATATTTAAGATATTAAAGCCTAACCTGGTAAAGTGCCTTCTTATCTTTAAAGTCACGGAATATAAAAACTTCAGATGCAAGACAGCGAAGATTTTGAAATGAGAGCAATATATCTGTGCAAAATCCATTATCAACATAGCATGGAGGATGACTATCAAATGCGAATTCTTTCAGCTTTTCACAAGTAGTGCTGTCATTATAACTGTCAACAGCAGATTGCATTAGACATCTACGAACATCATTAATCCATTTTTGACCCTATCATATCAATAACAAGAACAGTAATAATATTCATGATCATGATCATGATTTAAATCAACAATAGATCTCAGTACTTACTGCTGTTGTGAAGCAACTTGATTTATCAGCAAATCTGAGACAATACTTTTTGCCATAATTGAGAGGATAGTCATTGGAAGTACACCGCATTTTATCATTCAAGCATTGATAGTAATCACAGTCACCAGCATTTGCCAGAGCTAAACAGTCAGCCTGAGCTGTACATTGAGCAACGAGGCACATCAAAGAAATTAAAACTGTAATAACAGCAGTGGAAAACCAGAAATCATTTTGTCTTTTTTAGGGCAGGTTGACCTTGAAGAGAAATTGACTTCTTCTGACTGACCCGGACAAATGGCCTGATTTTATGGTAGGAGCTGCCTACGCGTGTACGCTAGACGTAACCAAGCCGTCTCACATCAGCAGGGGGTTAAAGCCCCTTCCCCCAGAAATTCTCTGCAACCTTAACTTTTATCACTAGTAAAACTAAACCTGCAGTCATCATTTCTACATTTTTATTTAGAAGACAACGAAAACTGCTCTAAATCCAGTAGCCCACAGAATGTATAAAACCCCACCCACTTTAATAACTTAATCATGTTCAGCCCCCAAAATTTCAGAATAATAGGCTCATGCACATCACCTTATATAGGTATATCATTGATCAGGATTGGACGCTGCTGACAAAATATAGACAAAGTTTATAATAATAATTGAATTTATGCATCAAAGCTCCAGTCCAAAGTATTGAGTTCATAATGGTCAGTCATTCAACAGAAAAGAAGTGATAGGTGTGGTTGCACCGTTGCAGGGGTAGCAAATATGAGGAAGGTATAATTTTCTCTGTATTGAGAGAGATGATTGTACTCTGCGACTGTGTCAATACCTTGTTCGGCAAAGCCTTTGCTATTTTTCTTGACAAAACAAATCTAAAAAAACAAAAGCCACATTCCACAACAAATTAGATGTGTGTGTATGTGAGCTATAACTGACCAGTCCCATTCCTCATTATAACTATCAAGTAATACCAGTACAACATCAAAACGACTCAACAGTGGACTAGCTTATTAATACCTGTACTCTAACAAGAATAAAAGAAGAGAAGAGGATCAATGACCACCATATTCATTTATTAGTGAATTATATTACATGTAAACTATAGGAAGCCTTGATTAGCTTATACACAATACACACAAATATTAATCAACACACATATACGAGTACATTGTAAATTAGCATTACATGTGTACAATGTACATCATTAGTTGATTGATCTCACTAGTTCAGGATCATAGTTTCCCTTAGGATTAGTTGCTGCTAGAATAGAACGAGTGTTTAAACTTGCACACAAGGTCAGCCTGTAATAATAATAATAATAATAAGAAACAAGCCCATTAAGGATTGTCTATATTTATCATGCATAATTGGAAAGAAAGAGGTCTGAAATCATCACATCATACCTTTGCAACACTAATAGTGTTGCTCCATCGCTTCATGTACACAGGACCTGTCCCTATCATTAATACTATTAAACTCATCTGTAATATGAGAAATACACATAGGAGAAGAAAGAACAAAAGAAACAAAAGGTAAAAATTTGCTTTTTTGTTAACATCATGCTTACACTTACCTATGCAACACAGTCCACCATCAGCTAATACTAAAGCACCAGCTTCTAACTGCCATTCACTGCCATCCTATTAATATATGATTATAGTGTTAAAAGGATATAGTCATGTACATATACATGCAGTTCATAGTGTGCAGGGATTTGGAGTTTGATATCAAACATACACACGAATTTACATTTGTGAATTTGTTGGAAATTGGTACAAAACTTTTGATACATGTAAAACAATTCATAAACCATCACAACAAATTTAGAGCCAAAAGGCTATGCATGAATATTTCACTCATCAGAGGAAAGGACATTGTTTTTATCTTCTTGGAGAAAATTTTAAAAATCCTTTTAAAAATCCAGGTGGTCCAGAATTCTTGATTATCGTATAATTTCTAATAATAAATGTATTATGTTTGATAACAGGTTTAAGCTGATTCTAATCAAAGCCAGAAACTTAAGAATTCTCACAAGAGTTGGTTAAAGACGTACAAAAATTATTATTAATTATTACCTTAACAGCAGCAACAGTTAGTCCAGCACTAGTAGTACCCACTCCAGTAGTTAATACAGAACGAGGACTGAGACTTGAAGCAAACTTGAGAAACTAAGATTTTCCAGTGCCTAAAGAAACAAGACAAAACACAGTTCAGTAAGTGTAAGGAAGACTGACTACTGAAATAAGAAACAAGATGGCAACAGTTGAAGAAATAGTATCAGGAATCTTTTATAGGGACATCAATATGCAATAGAAAATGTAACAAAAAATTGGGGGCAATTTCGAAGGTAATTTTTATAAAAAAAAAACCAAGGGCATTTTCAAAAATTGGGCTTTAAAAATGCACATAACTCAAAAATTTATAGTGAAATCTGCTCAAACACACAGCATAAGGACATCAATGGGTATCAAAAATGTAATAAAAATTGGGAGTGATTTCAGAGCCAATTTTGCAAAAAAAAAAAACCATGGGTAACTTTCAAAATTTAGCCAATTTTTTAAAATGCTCAAAAATTAAAAAAATTAAGTCGGAATCAGTTTAAACTTTCTACACAGCATAAGGACATCAATATGTATCAGAAAATATAATAAAAACTGGGGGTGATTTCGGAGCCATTTTTTTGCAAAAAACCATGGGCTATAGCCATGGTATTTTTCAAAATTTGGCCAATTTTTTAAAATGCTCAAAAATTAAAAAACTTAAGTCGGAATCAGTTCAAACTTTCTACGCAGCATAAGGACATTAATATGTATCAGAAAATGTAATAAAAATTTGGAGTGATTTTGGAGCCATTTTTTGCAAAAAACCATGGGCTATCCTTGGGTAATTTTCAAAATAATATTTAGCCAATTTTTCTAAAATGTTCATAACTCAAAAAATTTAAGTCAGAATTAGTCCAAACTTTCTACGCAGCATAAGGACATCAATATGTATCAGAAAATGTAATAAAAACTGGGGGTGATTTCCGAGCCATTTTTTTGCAAAAAACCATGGGCTATAGCCTTGGGTAATTTTCAAAATTTAGCCAATTTTTCTAAAATACTCATAACTCTAAAAATTTAAGTTGGAATTAGTCCAAACTTTCTACGCAGCATAAGGACATCATTATGTATCAGAAAATGTAATAAAAACTGGGGGTGATTTCGGAGCCATTTTTTGCAAAAAACCATGGGCTATAGCCTTGGGTATTTTTCAAAATTTGGCCTATTTTTAAAATGCTCATAACTAAAAAAATTTAAGTCGGAATCAGTTCAAACTTTTTACTTTTTAATTTTTTTTGACAAAATTTTGCCAAATTTGTGAGCATCTTTAAAAATTTGTAAAAATCAAAATTTGATACAACATAAGTACATGTACATGTATATGCATCAAAAAATTCTAAAAACGGAGAAATCTCTCCAAGCCATTTTAAAAAATATTCAGCCAAAGTCCTTTACTATTATAGTACATGGTGCTGGCTGAATTTTAGAGCAACTGGACAATATGCAAAATCCTGTGGGAAAGTCTGTTAACACATACCTTTGCAACACTAATAGTTTGTTGCTCCATTGCTTCATGTAATACAGGATCCGTCCCTATCATTAATACCATTTAACTCATTTATAGTAAAAGGAAGAGAGAGAATGAAAAGGAAGCATGAGAGAGAAGGAGAAAATAATAATTGAATTTGCTTGTTTGTAACATGATTGTGCTTACCTATGCAACATAGACTAATACCAAAGCACCAGCTTCTAACTGTCAATCACTGCCATCCTATTGTATATGATTATAGTGTTAAGAGGATATAATCATGTAATAATGTAAGAATGTAATCATGCACATTGCAGTTCATAGTGCATGACATCAGTGACGTGACAAACAGTTGTACGGGGCAGGCACACATCGGCGTTATAATTTTCTGGGCATAAGCTAGTGCTATACACTCTGTGTTTACCATGGCCTGTGGTAATTTCATTAAAAATTGTCAAATTAGATTTTAAAAATATTTCAAGTTGTTAAAAAACTGGCCCAAAGTATTACACAGTTTCGTGTTAAATTCTGCCAAAAATAGCCAGGACAGAATTCTCCATATTATAATTAGATCCTACTGTCATTTTCATCTAATAAATATCTTTCTACATAAAGTACAGAGACTTTTCATTAAGGACTCATAAAAAGCACCTAGCAACACTTCACTCAGAGAAGTTTCAGAGGTCCTATAGTGTCACCATTAACCTGATTCGCTGTCGATACTCTTTCGCTATTCTCAAGGCAGCAATCAGGTGCTTAAGGGGATCACGCTCCAGAATGAGATCATTTGATTCTAACGATTTCTGCATAGCTATCTCAGAAGCTCGTCTTACCCTAACCTAACCTATTCATTGTATCTTATTATTTTTCTCTCACTTATTTCCGTTATTATTATCTATTTTTTAACCTACTATTTATCCCTGTGTTATATCTATTTTGTAAAAAAATGTTTATTTAAGGGCTCAGTTCCCTCCTACACTATAAAAAGAGTGACAGTCCATGGTCTTCAATCATAATACAGTGGAACCTGTTTAATCCGGTCACCCTTGGGTCATTTAAATGGCCTGATTATGCAGGTGGCTGCATTACAGGTAAGCCTCTGTAATACGGCCATTTAGTACAGGTCTTGATCGGGATTTTGGCTTATGGCTGTAATAGAGAGGTGGCCTCACTACTCAGGTGACCTTTAGCACAGGTTTCACTGTAAGGCCCTATTTGGAGGGAGGACTGGTTAGAAGCACAAAAAGCTAGAGTTCCTGGCACTGACATTACAACAAGTTAGTTTATGGAGGAGCAATTACACATTTAATGTTAATGAGAAGCGGTAAATTAAACCTATTTATCTCATGAATAATTAATAAGTGAGAATTTGTGGTGTAGGATACGTGATCCCTCTAGTTGGCCTAAATTTTTGTTGTTAGCAAAACATGGTGTTGATTGCTGGACTGTTATCACCTTTAGTCTGGATCCTTGGTTCTTACACAAAGAAGGAAAGCCTGAAGCAAGAAAAATTAGAATCAAAGCAAGCCTGTGCCTTAATGTCTTATAATATCATAACATTAATTTTAGGTAAAAGTTTACTGATGCAAATCAAAAGTTCAAGTATTTTTTTGATGCCCTGCAGCACTTTTTGTCAGAAAAATCTGTTATGAACAGTTCTGAGCTCACCTTGTATTCCAAGATCGTACCTATATTGATGAAAGATATGTCAGGTTAACCCTAAATATTGCTTGTTTTTTATAAAACAGATAAGGAATATTCCAAGATTTCCTTTTTGTTTGAGTTTTAAGTGCTATCAAGCAGTACCAATCATATCCACCATAAATATTAGAGTACACTATTATGTAAATCTCTTTCAGATCAGAGCCTCAGAATCCAAAGGATGAGGATCAAATTTCTAGCAAGCTATCCATTTGTCCCGCCAAGCCACTAGGGTCAAAAACCCTGCCATCAACTGAAACTTAAGTTACAGCATTGGGTCTGTGCCAACCCTGCCTACTTTAACCATGTTAGCCCCATGCAGGCTAATGATGGAGGGGTTTGGTTGATTCTACTTCCATGTATAAAAGCTGCATCCTGCAGTCATGTACAGTTTAGTTTACAACTGAAAGATCAAAAATGCAGGTAGCTGAATTGAGTAAGAACCTTACTAATTAGATGTGTGGTTCATTGTCATTTATCTTTATATAGCTATAGCAATACTAGCACTTGTTGTGGTAGTCACAAGTACTATCATAATGATCATTTCGGTAATAAAACAATACTTTCTATAACATGTACACCTGTATATTTTTATAGCTTAAGCTGCAAGTGCAAAGCAGCAGAGAGCAAAGTGCTCTTTTAAAGGGAATAATTGCCGTAAATTACTGAGATATAGCATTGCATGAATTAAGTAAGAACTTTACTAATTAGCTGATGTTGTAATTATTGAAATAATAGGACTCATGTTTGTGGTCATACAGACAGTGGTAGGGGTCACACAGACCATTCTGGTGACAATTTCAGTAAAGAAACAATACTTTCTATAACACGTACACCTGTATATTTTTTTAGATAAAGTATCAAATTCAAAGCAATAGGGAGACAAGCGCTCTTTTGAGGTGGATATGATATGTAGTTTATATGTTTCTTTTATGTAGTTGTTGGAATTTTAGCTGTATTAGTGATTGTCATAAAGACATCTTACTGGATATTTCAGTGAAAATAAATAATTTCTACAAGATTTAAACTTCTTTATAGATTACTATCAAATTCAAAGTAACAGAAAGACTAGCACTCTGTTTTAAAGAGGACAATTACTCCTTATAGAACCAGAAACGGGACAATTACAAGTCACCAATAACTGTAGTGATACGTCTTCCAGTTATTCCAACAACAGTACAGTTGATGCCTGCTCACATAAGTAAGACAATAATTTTTACTAAGTATTACACAATTCACTTTTTACTCATGTTTTTATTTAGATTGCAATAATAGATGACTGCCTCAAGTTGCCACTGTGGTAGCAACAGCATTGCCTTACAATCTAACGATTGATAAATCACTAGTGCTGACTTTTGTGCTGTGCAGCTGTACATGAATACAACAAGGGGTATCAAAAGGCCACCTCCCTTGCTCCAGTAATTTTATAATATTAATATTATCATAAGCACATTGTGTAGCCTTTAGCATCACATTTGCAGGCTTGCAGTGGCCATTGGAAGAGTAAATCTTACTTATCAGTAAGTCACTCTCTAATTTCATAACTCATTTGTAATAGAAATATTGAGCTATTGGCCTTAGTCTCATGATGGGAGTGTCTGTGGACTTTGTTAGTGAAATACATCAGTTGGGAATTAGAATATTTACTGGTTATGACTTTAGAGGAAAGAAGAATATGTAGAACTGTTCCCAGGAAGCTTCTAAGGATGCATAAAACAAAAATGGAGGTCACAGAAGACTTTTGTTGTCTCCACCAAAAAGATAAGAAAAAAAAAGTTAAATCCTCCAAAAGGGGCCATAGATTTAGTTTGAAAAAAATGAAAATTGCTTGTGCCAATAACCAAAAGTCAAATAATGGTATATCAAGATGGATAATTTCTGCTATTAAATTAGGTACTGTTAACAGCAGTCCCACCATCATTTGCTTCAAATCTAGCCTCAGAAATAGATGCCCAGTTGATAAATGGTCCCATGATGGAAAACATGCTCGTCTCATAAAAGTTGAAAGCAATGGAATATACTCAAGACTTAACTTTGCACTTTAACTTAATACTCTTCTCTTAACACACGGAGATGTTGTGAGCAATGGAGGCCCCATTGCACCAGTTTGTCACAGTTGTCTCAACTTTTGAAAGCATAATAATCAGTATGACTGAAAAGGTACGAAATTATAGAACGTTTAATCACATATGAAAAAGGCATGGTCAATCTCTATGAGTTCATTGTACTCTTGTGTACTGTTAGTAATGAAGACTGCTGCCACTGCCACTTTTTCTTCTTTAAGTACTACTGCTGCTCTAAAGATGCTCTTAAAGGACGTTTATAGTATCACACCTAATGATACTACTTTATAGAATTGGTTGAGAAGAAAAGGCTTAATTAGTGATGTCACTGATCAGTAATGTAGGAAGTGTCATCAAGAGGGGATGAAAGAAACCCTCTTATAAGACAGTTGGTCACTGTAGGAGGGATATCAACAGGAGTTGTAAACAAAAAGTAAGCATTAGGCAATAGGGTTGGTTTGAGGCTAAGAAACTACCCATAAATATGAGTGACAATGAATGTGCCATTGGCTCTCAATAAATCCTGCAGCTTTATATTCCATTCAGTACAGGCACAGCTCAGGAAATTTCATAAGTGTGGATGATTCAGTAATAGCAAATATAAACAAGTAAATAAACTTTTCATTTTTAATAGACTGGTAGAGCTTAGGTATTTTCTATCACACTTGAGGATTCAACCCAAATTGGAGGACTGGGGGAAGTTGCTGAGATTGACGAATCCAAATTTGTAAGCAAAAGTACTACAAGGGGAGGAGGTTTTTGGGTCCTAGGCAGGAATAATAGATGGACAAGACAGACTTTCTTAGTAACTATTGAGGACTGTTCTAAAGTTAAATTGATCTAATTGCATTGACTATATTGTTCCGTCCTAAGTTTGGGAAATTAAAGGATATTGGGGGCAAAGCTCCATGTCTATCCACTCGCTTCTATTGTTCCTGAACAGTACCTCATTCTCTCAGGAACAAAGTAGCTCAGGAGTTTTGACGTCTGGAAAAGCTGGAGGTCATCACCCCAATGAAGCATTCAGAGTGGGCAGCACCTGTTGTGCCAATAGTAAAAGCATTTGTCTTTGCGGAGATTACGAAGTAATGATTAATCCAGTCCTGCTTCCAGACATTTATCCTCTTCCAAGAGTCGACAATCTATTAGCTGCATGCAAGTCCTTTTCAAAGTTGGACTTAAAACACGCACACCTACAAGTTCCTAAGAGTCTAAAAAGTACACAACCACTAACGTCCAGCAAGGGCTTTTTCAGTATGAACGCCTACTTTTTGGCATGTCCTCAGCTCCATCTATGTTTCAGAGGATAATGGATAACATCCTCAAAGATGCATAGATATAAGTATGGCACTGTTAATTATTCATGGAAATTTGTCAATTTTGAAACAGGTAAGGACATAGTGTTCAGTTATGGGATCTCCCCCATAATTCACAACACAAAAGCACATGTACAGCACAATCGATATTTTTACAACCATACTTGAAGCATTCTTCAGTCATTCCACAATTGGTATTTGAATCAGTAGAAGTTGTGTCACTTTTTGGCTAGCACGCCTTAAACAACGAAAGGAGTGCCGAGTGCTATGAAAATAATCGGAATAACAAACAGCCTCCAATCAATTCTAAATGAAAACGTAAGACTAATTTGTAATAAGTGCCTACACAGTGAGTCGGTACATCTCCACCGCTTGAAAAAGCTCGCTCAAATTCATCAACAACAACAACATTGCAACAACACTGCTTTTGATATACATGTACTTGGCCAAAAGCAACTAATTTTGCTACATTTGAACCCTTATTACAAATAATTTTTAACTTCCACTAAACCAATATAGTGACCAAATGCCAATTATCAAAAAACGAAACCATTGAAATTAAACTGAACAAAAGAAAAAATTTCGATTGCCTGGAAAGCATCATTCAGGACACAACTCATGACAGCCATTGTTTGAACAAATTTACTTCATACCTCAAGAGGAAACTGATAAATTTGTATCTGACTACAGCACTCCTCAGTCTGTAGTAGCACCCAAAGTAAGGTAGAGCAAGTAGATTAAAGTACAAGAGTAAAGACTTTGGCAGTGACAAAAAAGATGAAAGTATTGGAGCTCTCATGTACCAACATAGTTTCACTGCAGCAAAGTGAAGTGTATTTTTATGACTATTGGAATTAAAACAGGAAAAGGCTAAGCAAGAGAATGTACCATTATCATCAGGAAAAATAGCTCAGGATATTAATCTAAGTTTTAATAAAATTTGAATGGATTCCGTACAGGAGGAAAGACAGAGCTTGTGAAAGCAAAGCTGAGCTAATATAGGATTTGTAATTTTAAGGAAGTTAATTACATTGATTATATTTTTTAGTTATAAAATAATTTGTAGGAGACTCAGTCAAAGGAAATATTTGGCATGATTTGCTAACATATTCAGGGATAATGATACCTTCTTTATTTGGTAAACTGCATTTTAAGAAACTGTTGTTGTACCTTCCACTTACCACTACTAGTATCTTTCAAAACAATTAGTCTGATGAAGCAGGTTTTAAACCACCAATGGTGCTTGAAATTATCTTACTTTGATTTTTGTCTATGCATCATAACAAGATAGTGCACACAACACTGACTGGTGGTAATGGGCAGTCCTGGGGTGGGGCATATTCTGGGTTCAAGTTAGAAACAGCAGTGGCTGTTGACATTGCAGTGAAAAAGCAAATTCCAATTTTGCTGGTTGTTGTCACATGCAGAGAGGACCTCGCATAGTCTGCTCAAATAACCAGGCACAAGGAAGGAATGTTGGTCTTCTTTGAGACTCACCTCTAGCTGGAGGTGTCAGCACAGCACATTTCTGGCTCCTTGTCACATTGATCAATATTATTAATTTTTTTATAATGTGCATGTGAGAGAGGTTGAGCTTATTATTTTATTGAAGATGGAATGACAGTTGTACTCATAGTGTGCTTTGGCACATGAAGAAACACTAGTGATACTAATGGTAAGTAAAGACCAGTACTTAGGTGCATTTAAAATGCATCTATATAGTATGCAGCTTACTTGTAGAATGAAGCTGGCAATGGACGTAATTGGAGGGTGCTTTTGCTTTTGAATGAGCAAACCATACAAGAGCTAAGAAGATGAATAGGCAGCTTGAGGAGCTCAACATACACACAAGGAGGAGGAGGTGCAGCACAAACCAAAGGCACTACTGAGTGGAACAAAAATTTGATTGTATACATCATGTACTCTTGATTACATGTAATTCACATGTACATTTGTTATTTATTCCATCATTCCATTATTCTTATTTTCTCAGCTGTTCCTTTTCCCTCTGTACTCCCTTCTTCTATTTGATAATGTGCGACTCATGAAGCCCGATGACAACATACCCATCTCTTCCAAACCAACCTTAACTTCTCTAATGCTTTCAACCAGGTCATATACTTGGTTTGGGTGAGCTGGACATATCTCAGCACTTCAATGTCATACTCTACTTCCTCTGCTCCTTTCAATGTGTCAGCCATCTCCCCACTATCTAGCTTGCTGACCCTAAGCTATGGTTCGCTCAAGTGGACGCAAAATTTTGTACCAAGTGAGGTACACAAGACAATAATAATTTTAATTTTTTACCATCATACGGGAGAAACATTTATCAGCAAATAGGTTTGACTAAGTCATAGCTTCCTTGTCTCCACAGCATGCCACTGAAGTAATAGACCTCCACCCACTACAGATCCTTATGTTAAAGGCAAAAAACTACTTAATATACTGACAGTGTTTCTAACAGGCAATAAGAAAAGCTACAGAAAGCATTAAGAGCAGCAACATACAACATGGTCCATGAAGCCATATTCTATAGGCAAAGTTGACAAGGCACCAAATGTTCAGCTGTCTAGATCACACAGCAGTAGCCTTCCAGGGTTAGTAGTGGTGCCTCTCAAAGAGTGGAGTGTATTTTTTCTTTTGTTTTTATCATAAAAATGTTTGTTTGAAGCTTTTTCTCATGCCAAATCAGCTATTAAAAGAGAGCATTGGTTTGATAACATGCCAGAACAATGGGTGAGAGAGTTATGGCAATGGCTGAACCACCAGGAAGGAACAGGTCTCAATGTTTGGACAAAAACATGCAGAGTCAAAGCATGTGGTGGTAATTCCGGCTTTATATCAAGGATTGTGCTATTTATCTAAGACATTCAGATACACATTACCAAACTCGACAGTTTCAAAATTCTAGGATCAAAAGAGTGCTTCATTTTCAGCTCACAAATTTTTCATTGTTTATGACTACAGTTATGTAATAAATATAACACCCCTCCTGGGGCATTATCATGGAGTGTGTATTGTGATAATGCCCGTGGGAGGAGTGTTATGTTTAACTTAACCTATGAAGCCATAGAGATCAAAGGCATCAAATGGCACCACTCTCACGGGATCCAAAAAAGCCCATGTAGTGAAAAATGAGAAAAAAAGGTGACAAGTACTGCTAAAAGGAGAAAAATGGTACCAGCAGAATGTTTTAAAGTCACTAGTGACAAAGATATAATTGAGAAGATAACTAAAGGCTACATTCCTGCTAATACTAAGAAGAGTACTGCATGGGGAATGAAAGTATTTCACAAATGGCAATCTCCAAGCACCCAATCCTAGTAATGTTGCATATGAGAGAGAATCATGGCAGTGGCCATACATTTAAGTTTAAGTGCTTCTTCTGTAATATGACCTTAAAACCAAGAAGAGAGTTGCTGCTAGCTATGGCAAGAAACAAGAACCTCTGATCCACTCTTACAAAGTGGCTGTACAGACCGGCCTTATCTACTCTTGTTATTATATATAGATCTATTAATAGGCACCAGATTATAAAGGAATGTTCTAAGTTGTGAATGATTAGCATCTCTCTATCTTAAACTCAACTTTCTACATTTCTCTAAATGATAGATGAGCCGTTTGCTTTTGAAGACATGTGCTGGCTCATACGGGCAAGTTACTATCTCCTCAGGATCCACAGGAGGCTCCATTCCTATACCTGATTGATAACATCAGAGTCAGCAAACTTCTTGATGGTTTAAATAGCCAAAAATAGAAGAAATAGGAAAATTTTCTTGTAATATATTTGTTGCCTCCTCAAATGAGCTACATGAACCATTCGTTGTCCTCCTCCTCCAGGTGATGGTCGTCGTCCTCTTCCTCCAGGTGATGGTCGTTGTCCTCCTCCAGGTGATGGTCGTTGTCCTCCTCCAGGTGATGGTCGTTGTCCTTCTCCAGGTGATGGTCGTTGTCCTCCTCCAGGTGATGGTCGTTGTCCTCCTCCAGGTGATGGTCGTCGTCCTCTTCCTCCAGGTGATGGTCGTTGTCCTCTTCCTCCAGGTGATGGTCGTTGTCCTCTTCCTCCAGCTGATGGTCCCCTTCCTGCAAAATGGGGGAGGGGATCAGGCCATAGAGGATGGTGGGGGTAGAGGGAGGGGTTTTAGTGGGAGAGGCCATGGTGTTCCAAGAGGAAGAAGTGGCAGTGGCTGGGCAGGAACTGTTATTGTGAAGGGGAACAATGCTAGGATCACTTTTTGTTGATTTATGTTTTGTTAATAATTAAGATTGGTTAATGATTGCTTAAAAATTTCAGAACTAATAGGTCACCAGCAACAACAGCTTGGAGTCTCTCAGAGTTTTTATAGTATCCCCGAGTGTTACACGAATTAATTAGTAGTATCCTGAGGAGTCCTCTAGTGGCATAGAGGGATCATGTGACACTACTAGGTTAATTGACTATAAATAATGGATGCTCTTCTCTCTTGTAATTATTGTTGTAAAAGATTAGTAGATAGACATCATGTACCTCTAAAAATGGTGAATTCAAACTTTTAAGATAATTTTCTCATTAGTTAATAATACGGTTCTCATTATACTATTCACAAAAAAGATAGGAGTAGGTTGCTTCAACCATAGCAATAAGGACAGGAACTAGTCATTTCAGCAAAAATATGCAGTCATTGTTAGAAAACCCATCAATTACAAAGTACGTAGGTGTTTCAGGGTATGAAAATATTATGAATTTGATAGGTGTAGACAATGTAGATGTGATATGACTAATGGTAGCACTGTTATCAAATCACTCCCAGATATACAGTTCATTTGTATACCACGCACAAGCTATACCAGAAGCAATAGGACTGTCATAAAAACATCAAAAGCAAGAATAAGTGTGACACTGGAGGAGTTAGTTTAATTTGATAAATTTAGTAAAATTGTGACATTAGACCTGACAATAAATGCATTGATGAAAAGTATCACCTTTCTTCGATAGACATGGGTCGAGTGATAAACACCAAGGGCCAAAGACAGGGTCATTTAGCTTTAAGGAAGCAAAGAGACTGTTTTACTGCCATAAAAACATCTGGCATTATGGTGTTTCAACCATAATTCTACACTGCTGCTGAACAGCTGACTGCCTGCTTGAAAAGCAGTTTATAGTGATTAAAATATCTGGATTATGTGACATTGTATTATACTACAAGCTAAGTAGTACCATAGAATGTCACTAAGTAGGACATGGATTGCATCATCAGATATAAGAATTGATACCAGAGCACTTAATCATAAGTCATGATGTAATCAATGAAGATGAAGGCATTTTACTAAGAAGAGTAGCAATGTGCTGGTAAGTAACAAAGGTAGAGCAAACTTTAAATGCACTAAATTAGGCTAATGTATGGAAATTTCCAAAGGTTGGAAACAATAAATGAAGTGATTAAGCCACAATACCCATTTTCTTACAAAAATTACCACTTTAAATGTGTCGCTGATGGACTTTTTGTTTTTGAACATGAAAATCATGCTAAATTTTCAAGTTTCACATTAAATGATTTTGTTAGAACAGTTCCACGTCACATCGAGTTAAGAAGATTGGAGACGCCCCACTCTTGTGATTTTTGTTATAGTTTTAATTAAAAAATTCAGTAATAAAAGAATTTCGAAACTGATTCAAACCTGAGGAATACAATGTCATACTTGTGAAAAATCATTAAAAAAAGACAGATATGGCTTGGCAAAGGTCATTTGTGACAAGGAACCAGTACAAATTATAAAAAAGTAAGAAAAGTTGCGAGAAAAATGTCCAAATTAATACTGGAGCAAAACTGAGTCTCCTAACACTTCACTTGATTATATTGCCATTAATACAGGATTATCAGTCTACTAAAGGACCTCCTATATTTTGTAGAATTTGGAGAATTAGTGGCAGGAATGAGTTCAATTCAACAATAATCAAGGTAATTCAATAAAAAATGTTTTTATCTGTATTTTAGCATATTTATTTGCCTTTATCAGAATTATAAAAAAATTATGAAAGTTTAGGACAGCAGAGTAACATTTTGTTTGACTGTTGAACCAACCGAACAAAAAGAATATCTTGCAAAAATGAGCACTGTGCAACTAATACTTCACCTGACAAATTATTCTATACTCCAAAATTTTCAACAAGCTTAACCCACTTGATCTAGTTACCAATAGTTGGAAATATAAAAGCGTACTAATATTTATTAATTATTATTGTAATAGGAAGTATGGCAGTTAATGGTCATTTATGACCATACAAGTATGTATCTCCTGGGGTTTTTGTTTCACCCTCGCCGCTGCCAATACCTGGCAAAGTAGTAGACAAAGTTAGGGCTGGTCTCTTTGTGGACTTGAGGGAAATGTTCCCTGATAACGCTGCTCTAACCAAACAAATATCAAAGACTGGCTCAAGCTCAGGATCCAAACTGAGGGAACTGGAGGAAGTCATACATGTACAACTTTAATTTAGTCCTGTACGACTGAGAGTTTCCATGAAATGCCAAACAATTTTCCATACAAATAAGGTCAAATCCATCACTGGATTAAGATATTAAAAGTGACTTGTACAGAGACATTAAAAAAAAACCTAGCCATTTTTAATCATCCATCCAACAAAGACAAGTTTTGTGCAAGAACAATAAAAGGACATGTGATAAAAGCATTTATTTGTTTCCAAGGAATTATTATACAAATATGCTATGGAAATGTACAACAATGATATTGACATTCAAGGATAAAGTAGTTATGGCCGACTCATTGTAGTTACTGCATATGTAATGAAATTTATTACATTAATGAGACTGAAGACTCTCATCATCATCAGACGTTAGGAGAAGAATTGGGGAAAGCCAATACAAGATACTAAAATGGTTTAGGGTTTCTC